AAAAAAAAAAAAAAAAAAAAAAAGGTTGTACAAGTGTTAACAATAATTAATACATAAAACCAAATTACTTCTCAAATCTTCCACCAACCAGGATATCAACTGACATGTTTTTACTTTATGATCTAAGATTGATTTTAATTACATTTGTCTGCATAATTGAAGCAAAAAGGAAAAAAAATTTAACCAGAATCATTAGGGTCATTTTGGCTCTGAAGTTCTGACTTGGAATTGATAACAAATATCTTAACTCCTAGTCTGTACTCTCAGTTGAAAATACACTGTATCTGGCATTCAGTGACAAGAGTCAGTCCCTCGTTTCCAGGTCAAGACCAATAGAATTATAGAGCTTGTAGAGACTACTACAAAGGAAGAAACTGAGTAACTTGTGTTTTTTTCATAACTGCATTTATTGGGGTGACATGGGTTCATAAAACCACCCAGGTTTCAAGGGCACAACAAGAAAACCACCTGCACGCTGCATCGTGCGCCCGTCGCCCCGAGCAGTCTCTTTCATAACTTGCGTTAGGGTCTTGCAGGCGAGAGAGCAAGGCGAGGCCTCCGTCCCGAGTACCGACTAGCTCATTGCAGGCAACTCATTCTGTCAACACGGCTGCTGTCACTGCTTCGTGTGGGAGTTCAGTCCCTCCCACTGGGTCAGGACACCAGGTGTCTACACCAAGACAACTCCCAATTACAAAATCACCTCTGTTCCATTCTGATTTAAACTTAAGCATAACGTGGGGGTCTCCCCGCGTAAAAATGGAATAAATGTTTGTTTCACTTGCAGAATTATTCTCAGTCCCTCAAGAATGGTTGTGATTCTGGACTCAGGTCTGGAGATACATGGAGCAAAGCTACAGGAGTATCCGATTTCAAAGATCGCCGTCCCGTTAGAGTTGAGGCCGACCCCCACTTCAGGAATTACCTTTGCTTCCTTAGAAACAGCCTAGTGAGGAACCCAGGCCACCAGATCAGATATTATTGGTTTTTCAGGTTGTTGCCGACAAGTGGGCGGGGAGGAAGAGAGAGCCACCCTCAGACTGGTAAAACTCATCTGTGGACAGGGACCAGTAGGCACCACGTGTGGGCGCGGGGCTTTCCGAGCGCTCCAGCTTTGCGGGGACCCCTCTCCCAGACACGCAGCTGCAGCCCGAGGCTGGCTCTCCGCTGCGCTTCCTCCTCAGCTAACGACCCGCAGGCAGGCCCCCCGCAGTGACACGCAGCCACACGTTGCCAGCACGCCGCCCACAGCCCCTAACAGAGGGCTGGACGCGCGTGGGGTCTGCTCGGCGCTGATGAAAGCTGTGGGAAGGCAGCTGTGAACCCCGCGGGCCCGGAGCCTCCTCCCCGCTGAATATGAGGTGGTTTTTCTAATGGTGTAGACCTCCTGCTCCTGTGGCTTGAATATTAACACCGTCCTGATTTTATAATATCTTGGTTCATTCGTTGTCTGTGGTTTTCATTATGGCATAAATTTGATTCCCCTCTCTCTGCCCGGTAGGTTCAGGGTAAAGCAGCCGCCACCCAGCACAGGACTGAAAGTGACCTACAGGCCTGGGCCCGTAAGTCCTGTGTGTTGCCTGTCGTGTGTCCGTGTATCCGCGCAAAGTGGGCCCTCAAGTCATTCTCCCCATTCTGTTTAAACCATGTAGAAGCCTAACTTTTTAGTATCGTAAGAAGATTCCTGGCATTGGTGCAGCATGGGGCTTGATGTCACTTACTTCATGTAGTAACCGCGAGTCAGAGCCTGTGTGTAAACAAGATGTTATCTGTTGACACAGAAAGGTTGGCTTGGTTTAGTGCAGTCACCTGGCTCCTTGTCGTGACTGTGCGACTAAGCAGCTCGGTGGTGCCAGTTAATTAACCTGCACACCTTGTTTGCCTCAGCTGTAGGAGCTCAGAACAGATCATCTCTCAGCCCTCTTCCAGCTCTAATACGTTATGATCTATGAGATAGTATGCAGGCCGCAGTTCCAAACAGAAATACACTTTGGGATTAGATTCACTAAGTCATGAGTCTCTCTCCCAAACAATTTATTATTGTACTGTGTCAAGATTTCACAACATAAAGCAAAAACAAAAACCAAAGCAAGCTCTTCTCCCACTGCTCTGGAGAGTCAGCAAATCTTTTTCACTTGAAGTAGGGATTATGCCAAATGCCAACATGACTATCGGATTCACCTTTATAGGAATTAAAACCCCAGCACGTATTCTTTGAAGCTCAATCTATACTGTTAGTTTTTTTCAGGTGTTTTTTCCTTTTTGATGGTAGGTTTTGGCTCTGGCAAATAATCTATAGACTTCTCCATGTGTAAATCTGGCCCCTGTTCAGCTTGGTTGGTTGCCAACACTGAATGAATGTGCTCAAAGCCTGGGTAAACCTGTGGTGGCTGCAGTCCAGCTCTCCTCACGCAGAGTGTCCCCGTTCCCAGCCCTGCTGATTGTTCGGCTTGGAGGGCCGAGGCCCCGATTCTCAGAAACAGAGCTCTTGGATCCCCTCCAGTACGCACGCTCACAAGCACATTGTTGAAAAAACGAAAACATTTTTCACTTCTATTATTTTTAAAACTAGACGCAAGAAAAAATTATTTGTATCTAATTGCTTTCCGTGTGGTAGTTTCTGACTTAGTTTTTCCAGATAACTGTTGTCAAGTCTGCTTTTTAGCCCACCCCCTGGAGAGGCAGCTTAGAAACACAAACAACTGTCTGTTTCCTGGCTAGTATGCTTTTCAAGGAACAAGGCGAGGAGCCCATTCCCCCCTGTGTTTCTTCCTTATGTATCAGGTTTCTTCTTTGTTGGTACAAGCCTCTTCCATGTAGCTCTCAGACCCAGGCTTTTCGGCATTTAAACTAATTCTGTCTCCCTCTACTGGCTTTGTCGCGTCACAGGTCCTACCTAAGGAACATTAGAAACCAAGGGGCAGCGGTGGTGGGATTCACCCAGTCTCCTAGATTAAATTACATTTGTCTTAGATTCACTGTGTCTTTATCTGCAAGGATGCCAACATAGAAACTCCCTACTGACATTCAGGAACTAGCACAGTTATGAGTACTATAAAAGTTTGCCTCTGGCGTCACCTTCAATACCCTGGCATTTAGTTTCCTTATGCCTTGTCCTAAATAACACCTGATTTCCTTCTTCCACAACTTATCCTGGGTCCCATTTACTCAATGGAATTCTGCCTCACTAACCTATGAAGTAATTCTTCTAAATGCTGTAACAGTGATCATTCATTTGTGCCTAATTTATAGATGAGGAAACCAGATTGGTGTTTTAGTAACTTGCCCAACTTGGTGTGAAAACCAGGATTTGAACTCAGGTTTGTCTGATTCTCAAGCTCCATGGTGTCTCACAGGTGGCAGCTGGTTTGCAGGTAGAACTGAAAGTGGAGCTCTTTGCCATGGTTGTGGGCGAGGACAGCGCCAAGGGATCAACACATGTCTCTCAAAATATTGAGATCATGACTGAGCATGACGTCCTGTTCTTACCTGTGGAAGCAAATATCCTTTAAAGTTCAGTTTGAGTCGTCACATGCGGTGCAAAAATTACGTTTGGGCCAGGAGAACACGGAAGTCAGAATGTTGTTTTCTAACCTCCTCACACCTGCAGTGCATTATTTCTATGTAGCTTCATTAATTCTATTTTTAAAGGCATAGCGTCTTCACTCATCTAGCAAAGTGCCTGACACAGAACCTGAGCCGTCACTACAGCTGAATTAAGGCCAATGTTATTGGCTGTCTATGGAGTATTAGACAATCAGATTTTTTTGATTTTTTTATTTTTTAAAAAGCAAGTCTTTGTCATCAGGAAAACTTGTAGTTTTGTTGAGGGACAGGAGGTACCTTCTTATTATAAAGGTTGAATGGATAGTCACTGAATTATGCATACATACCTCATATTGTAGTCTTGCGTGTAGATATCATATATTGAGTACCTTTTACATGTCAGGTACTATATGAAATATTTTGTCATATATAAAAATGAAAATTGGACTCTATCTTGAAAGACTTATATAACCTTGTAGCAAAAAATCTTCACACTTGATTCCTATATTATTTTGTACTCCAGTGTATATGACATGAATCATATATTACTTTGTGCTATAGTTATATATCTATTTGATATTTGAGTCTTACAGGCTGCAAAAGCTTTTGATGAAAGGAGAATTTAACTAGAAAGATAGGGGAGAGAAGTTTTATTAGATCTTTTCTCTAGGTCGAATGACAGTGATGGTTCATAGCCCATCTATGCCCCGCTGTACCAAAAACCTTAAAATCTGTAGGATGATATGTTTTGGGGGCCTGGTTATGGTGTTGGCTGGCTCCTCTAGGGGGGCAGAGAAACATACACTAGGGAAGACAGAAGAAATTCTAAGAGATAAATATCCATCCTTCATTTCCTAAGCCTGAGCATGTAACATTTGCATTACACAGAGAAGTACCTAAAATGATACTAGAGGAGAGGTTCGAATCCAAATGTTAGGAGTTTGTGTATACAGATCATTTGGTCATGAAAATCATAGTCCTTAACAAGTATTGTACCAGTTTTAACTAGCAGCAATTATGATAAGAGACCAAAAGATTTTCCCCAGGGAAAAGAAGATCCCGTGGTCCAGAGAACATCTATGGTTCCTTCCTCTGATCTTGGCATCTTCGTGTCCCGTAAAGTCGCTCCAGAGTAGGCCCAGTAAGTACTAAATGGGAACCTGATTTTCAACCGTTCATATCTGGGGCCTTCGACCTAGTGCTTGTTCTCTTCTTGCGGCCAGAAACCAGTGAGCCACTTAGCCTGGTGGGATGAAAATCCTGGCTTTTAATAACTATAGTAGCCACTCCTTTATATGCATTATCATATCTAATCCTCATACCACCTATAAGATAGATACTATTTTCCCCACCTTACAGATAAGGAAACGGATGCCTAAAAGTTATTAAGGATCCCAAAGAGCTTCTCTTTATGTGCCATATTTATCACATTTACCAAATTAGAATTAAAACTGGGAAAATACTTAAATTTATGTAAAAATAATAAACCTAGTATATTAACAAATTGATTTTTAATGAAAAACAAAAATCTTTTTTGCAAATCTCTTATCTATTGTATATTCAATTTGTCACCATATCACACATCCTACAGCCTCTGGGAAACCACTTTATGCTCATGAGGGGAAAACGCAAGTGGCATCTTTGCTATTTCTTTGCATTGGCTGCTTTAACAAACCTGCTTAGGTTCTTAGGGCTGCCACAACAAAGATTTCCATGTAAAGGTGTTCACGGAAGCAACATTAATAATAGCAAAACATCCAACAGTGATCCTTTGTATAATGGAATTTTTGGAATTAATTCAGTGATGTGTTTTTGAAGAATGATAATATTAGTAATAGCTCAAGAAACGTTCTGTGAAAAAGGCCAGGCTCCAAAATTGTACACAAGACGATTCCAACTATGCATGTGCACAGAAAGCAGGCCAAAGGAAGTGTGTTACCCGCTGCTACTTCCAACTGAACAGAAATGATTTTCTTACCTACAATATAAAGTAGCACATCCCTTCATTTGTCCTTAAAAGTAGAGCCTTCTAGCTCTACTTCATAAAGAACATTATAATGAATTATTTTCCATCCGAATTTTGACAGTTAAACCTGTAAGGATAACTGTCCATTATAACTCCCCCTGTCCCATATTGAGATACGCACTCAGTAAATGTGGTTAGCCGGCCAATGATGACAACTGTGCACTGAGACTCACCTTGACTTGATTCCTTTAAAAATCTCCAACACGTACGCTGAAGGCTACAAAGGAAGGACAAGAGCATAAGTGATACTCTTGACTGGAGTCCACTGAACTCTCTAATTTCCATCTCCTAAAACCAGGGTCCCCCTCTCCTACGAGATGCAGTGTCCTAAGGTGGGATGACATGCGCAGACCCAGCGCTAGTCAGCCTGGGCTCACGGTGCAGCTCTGCCATTACCAACCACGAAACCTTCTGGCTCTGGGGCCAGTCTCCTGTCTCTACAATGAAGAGACCCTGCCTCGCATGACTATTGTGACCAATGAGACATGCAAGTAAATCCTAAGGAACTGGAGGTTGCTGAGAGCACACGCTGTCCCACTGCTCTCCCTCTCTCCCCTTTATCTGACTGACTTATGCCAATTTTTCCTCCCATACCTTCAATTTCAAAGTTCATTTAGGAACAGAATCCTCAAAGGGCTTTAGACACGGACACGAGTAAGCGCCAGGAAACAGAAGAAGGCCGGGCCAGCCCCGTCTAAAAGGTTGACCTGGAAGTCACACTGAAATGGTGCTTCTGAAATTCAGAACATTCTAGAGGACACCACCCTTCCTCCTCTCTGCCCCTGAGAGTGACCTCTGGCTGACCAAGGGGAAGCTGTTAGACATTCTACTCACAGAGATATTCCCATAAGCCATCAGGATGGGGTTGGTGGGAAGAGGGACCTATGAAGAAATGATTAAATCCAGTCATTAAAAGACAAGACTTTGACAGTGGTTGTCACAGGCAGGGCAATACTAGTATCTTACATTTTGAAAAGAGAAAAAACTGGGCCCAAAACTGAAAGAGAGTGTAAAAGAATTATCGGGCCTTTCAGTGTCGATAGTGCTTATGAGCGAGTTTGGGCAACAGGTTTCATCCAGAAATCGACATGGTCACCCAGCCTCCGAACCAGAGCAGGAGCGTGAGCATCCGCTCAATACCACCATCACCTCAATCCGCTCTCTCCTGCTCTCCCCGTTTTACTAAGACCAAGCTTCCTTCTCCCACACTCAAGTCCCTCTTTCTAATGTCTGAATTAGAAAGAATTCTATTCCATTCTCTCACTTCCTGATCTGAGTTACTAAGTCCTGAAACGATGGTTTTCTGCTCAGGAATTGTCTATTTATAAACGTCTCCCAGAGCGCAGCTTGATGGGCTCTCTTACCTCCTTCCCTGCAGCTTTACAGATGGCTTTGTGCTCTCTCATTTTTGCAGTTTCCTCTCGGTACAGTTCAACAGCCTCCATGATCCTCTCAGCCTATACAGATGACAAAGGACAGAAGTCATCACAACACATGCCTTCCTCCCAGAACACTGCACCCGGAGGGCCTGATTGGAAAACCACCAAACAGCTGACACAGTTTAATAAAGATGCACCAATAGAACAGCAAACTGCATGCAAAGACATCTTTGGTTTTTCGTTTATTTTCTAATTTTCAGGGAGGAGACTATGTTCTGGATTCAGGTAAAAATGGGTGCAGAAACCCAGGGTAGGGCAGCTCCCAGGAACATCTGAAAGGTGCTGCTTTCCGGAGATGGAGCTTTCCTTCCAGAGGGCAGCACTGGACAGATTCAGCACCACCCTGTCCTTGGCCACAAAGAAGGAAAACAGGTTTTGATCCCCATCTAAAAATTCAGTCAACATTTTGCCACAGAAGAACTATTTGGTTGATAAAGACTTTTACCAAAGTTTGGATCCTGTGAAGAAAAAAAAGCTATATTCATTGAGGACTTAGTAAGGGCCAAACACTATGTTAAGTACTTTACACGTATCATAAGAATATCTTCCTCTACAAATGTTTAAAAATAACTCCCAGTTTCTCAATTTTTTTCTGATCTTTACTTTTGTTCTATAGTCTCCTTGAAAAAACAAAAAAAGCCAGAATGACAGTCATTGAATACCAAATTTGGTCAATCATTTGTCCCATAAAATCAGGATATATATAGTTGAATAAATAGGACTACTCAGATTCTTTCCCACATCAGTTGGTGATGACCTAGGCATCTGGCCCCAATGCTAATTCCATCAGAAATTCCTGACACTGCAGTAAATTCCAATGAGATAATTACAGGGCACAATCCCAGGATCCCAAAAGATGTACTTACTGCTGGTTGGTCTTCTTTGGCCACACTCCTCATATTCTGCTTCCCTTTGCTGCCAAGAGACAGATAGAAATTAATTTGAAAGAAAAACCATGGTCTCTACCATGTGAAATGAGAATGAGACAGTGAGGAGCTGCTTTCAAAATACAATCCCCTGTGGCATCTGTCCCTGCCTGGCTGCTGAAACGGTGACAGTCGTCATGGAAGCATCAGAGGTCCTTGGACTTGCGCTGAGGGGTGACTGCACTAGACAGAAAACTTCGGCTGGGACAGCATGTCAGACCCCACCGGCACATCTGTCAGCAGGCCCAGAGTCCTTACCATCTCCCTCTCTTCCTCGAGAATGAGCGGCTCCCGTGTCCTCTCCCACAGTCTCAGGGACTTGTCATGGGACGATGACACCACATAGTCTCCACTGGGGCTCACAGCCAAGCACCATACTTGCTGGTGGTGCCCCTGGAGAGAGAAACCCCACCGAGAGCAGGAGTGTCACTCGCAGGCCACCCGGGCTCGCGCTGGCAGAGACCCGCGCTCAGGCCTCTGGGCACCAAGGGGCCGCGGGGCGGGGGCTACCTCCAGGGTTTGGATATGCTCCCACTTGTCCGCGTCCCACTGCTTAATCTTGCGGTCCTTCCCGGCGGTGAAGAAGAGGTGAGACTTGGGCACAAACTGCAGGGACATCACACTGGAAAGCGAGGAGAGTAGTCAAATGTCCTTCAATGCCACGTTATCAAAGAGTCTTACACACACAAGCAGCTTCTGAACAGCCAATTCTAGTGTCTTATTTACACTTTGGAATTTAAATGTATGACTGTCTGAGACGCTAAATGACAGACACAGGTGCTCAAGGGAAACGATGCAGGTGACTCAAAGGGAGGTCTCTGAAGAGACTGCACCCACCTGTCGTCGTGTGCAAAGAGAGACTTGTGGCAGTCCCCAAAGTCCAAGCCCCAGATCTTCACATTCCTGTCGGCAGAGCCGGTTGCTATCAGTGCTCCGTCCTGAGGAAGAGAAGGGACACATCACTTTACTTGATTATCAGAAACTGTAAAGTAGATAAAGAAAAGCTACCAGGACATTTAACCCATTTCCCTCCAAAACATTAAAATCGATGCCAAAAAAGTGATTCCATTTCTCTACCAAACGCACCTGCTTCTCTGTTTTTACCCACAGATCTACCTAAAAGCTTGTTGAGTGGCCAGGCATTTCCCTGGTGAGCTGTGTCATCTTGAGCAGGCACTTCACCACCCTAACAGGAGGCTTTTACCCCATCTATGTACACACACACACACACCCCACACAGTTTCTTGTGAGGACTCAATGAAAGATGCACGTGGAACACAACACAGCCCCAAGACACAGCAAGTCCCCAACGATGTTTGCTCCTTTAAACCCCTTTTTACTCGCTTTGTCCCTCCACTTTAACCGGGCAGCTGGCTGGGCAAACCCAGAGGACCCAGAATAAGTTTAGAAACCAATCTGGGCTGAGATTCACTTTTATGATATTTTCAGAGAACATGAAATTATTTTCTCTGTGATTCTTTCGCCTACAGAATGTTTTTCATATTCTCAATCCTGAAAGGCAGGATTTGGGACAATTGTAGTAATTCTACAGTTACCACTAGAGGACAGAAGAGAGCCAGGCAACATCTGAGAAAAAATATTCAGGGACCAGTTGTCCTTGATTCTAGGGTAGACTTTCCTACTATGGGAAACTCAGACACCAGAGCCTCAGAATTGTTTTGATTAAGCTCATTATTTTAAGTTAAATAATAGATTAGAAATCTTGCCCAAAGATTTGTGGGTTTTTTTGCCTTTCAAAGGTAGAAAGGGGACAGTTTTCATTTTATCATTTTGTATTTATACTTCTATTTTGGTTCTCATGTAATTCTGCATTATATAATTTTTATTTGTTTCCATGCTTGGCATCAACCACCATTATATGTNATGCTTGGCTTCAACCACCATTATATGTAAAACTTTTGAAGGCTGATGTCGTGTCTCACTCGGGCACTTCTTTTGCTTAGTAGATGCTAGGGATTCAATTTCAACATTCATGTTATCATCATGGTAGAGGGAGGCAACAACAAGATATTCTCAGATGAATGATTAGGGAGCAGAGATACAGATAAGGGGCATGCACATTCCTCCATACATTTGATGGGCTCACATGGGCTGACACCCAAGATCAATGCCAGAAAAATCAGTGAGTGCGCTCTTAGAATGTATTTTCTTGATAAAGAAAAATTGCTAAGGAAATATTTATTCAATGTACAATATGTGTTAGTGTCACATGGTCTGACATGCATTATTTCCTTTATTTCCCTCAGTCTGTTAGATTCCTTTCAGTTTACAAGCAAGAGGTGCAGAGAAAGGAAGGATTTCGCCTTCTGGAAGGGGCAGGGGGACCCGCGGGTGGACTCGAACCGCCAACCGCGCGCCCCGCGGAGCCGGTGCCCAAGCGCACCGAGC